GGCGACTTACGAACCCTCGGGCCAGAGGCCCTCGGCTTTGTAAGACTGTCGCCCTCAGGGCATAATCCTCTATTTAGTACCCTTGATACATAAATAACTATTAGGTAAATTTTCGCTGGAGGCTTTAATAAATCCACTATCCATCTTCTCACATAAACCAAACAAATAAACGGGTGAAATAAGTATTTATTTTTTATTTTATAAATCAACCAGTCTAGGCAGGCGAATCAAAATAAATAACATAATAACTGACATAACCTCTAAAAGAAGACGGACATATGCCAGTCGCAGGGTAGCCAACTAGACAACTAGCAAATTCTGTCAGTGATGCAAACTTAAATTTAGAAATACAGAGCGCAAGCGCGCCTTGTGACGTCAAACCATTTTAAAAAATAACGGAAAATAGTAAAATTTCAAATTGAAATATCTCCTTTAATATCATTCTAAAAAATGCGGGAAAAAAACCAAGAATAGTTTTTGATGTGCTTAATTCAATAGAAAAATAAAAAAAAATCATGAAACGACCGAGGCGATAGAATCATTCAGCCAGGTCTCAGAAACAACCACAATGTCATAATCGTTGTTTTAAAGATTATCCCTAAAAGTATTCAACTTAGTTTTATCACCTCTGCAGTTTTGGTAGAAGACCAAAATGTCACTTTTTAAGTATTTGCTATAACTAATGACTTTTAACGAAAATTTGACTCCAATAAAGATGCAGGAGTACTGACCATTGGAGAGTCGCATTCGGGGGATAAGCCAACATCATGACCATCCGAAGAGTTAGCAATCACAAAAGATTGGTGAGTGGCAAGGTTGTTTAAAACGAGGTTGCCTGATAACTTTTATGACGTCATCTATATGCCTCAACATAATGCAAATCTCCATAAGGCACTCCAGATACGTCATCAAGTTACCCATTACCAGACAACCTATGAACTTTAGGAACCTTGGGTGAGTGGTAGGAACAATATTACTATCAGCAATTTTAATATGGGTTAGGGTTTTGCAATTAGAAAAAGTGAGAATAACACTATCGGAGAGTATTTTTCGAAATGACGAACGGAGTTCAACAATTTTGAATCAAAGTTAAAACTGTTGCCTGATTATTTGAAACAAAATGGTGCAGATAATACAATAGCGTTTGTATGAAGACAATTTTTTAGTTTATTTAGGATACAGACACAATTCGGGGTTTTACTCCTACAAACCTCGTTGTATTCTGCGGAAAAGATTATATAGGTATAGTCCAGGAGGTGGCGCCAAAAACATGCAAGAGTTTTCGCAAGGCGGATATTTTCAAAATAGGTCGTACTTTAGTGCTAGAATGCTAGTGTACAGTCAGCACTCACAGTTCCGGGACAGCTGGCTCTGGGACGCGGGCAAAGTTGTAATTTTAAGAAGCATCTAAACTGTTTTCTCAAAGCTCAAAATTTATAGAAATTTTGCACATTATCTCTTTGAAGGTCACAGATAACGTATGTAAATCGTCAGACGTCTAGTTCGTTGCAAAGAGGGGGTCAGACGTCCTCAAAGTTTTTATTTTATGGCATTTTCTTCAAATATATTTGTCAAATACCTGCAAAAATATATTTTGACAGGACACCGAAGAAAATGCCATAAAATAAAAACTTTGAGGACGTCTGACCCTCTTTTTGCAACGAACTAGACGTCTGACGATTTACATACGTTATCTGTGACCTTCAAACAGATAATGTGCAAAATTTCTATAAATTTTGAGCTTTGAGAAAACAGTTCAGATGCTTCTTAAAATTACAACTTTGCCCGCGTCCCAGAGCCAGCTGTCCCGGAACTGTGAGTGCTGACTGTACACTAGCATTCTAGCACTAAAGTACGACCTATTTTGAAAATATCTGCCTTGCGAAAACTCTTGCATGTTTTTGACGCCAGCTCCCCAACTAGTAGTCCTTATCGCTAAAACCGGCAGATAACACTGAAACATCCCTGACAACATCGTCATACACAAAGCAAATGGTTTGGATTCAATATTTTGAAGAAGAAACTTCCAGGTCCAAATTTGATCCGAGACCTCTACCCATCTGGTCACATTGTAGAAGAATCCGGCGTTTACTCTTAGAGGAGCTGATGAGATGACATTTCTCTTTTTTCTGTGAGAAATGGTGCTGATTCGTGGACCAATCGCTGTATCGTCAAAAGTCTGGATACAGGCGTCCATGTTAATAGGCTTCCTGCTCAAATTGCTTATTTTATCATTAGCTGTCATCAGATCCTGAAGATATTTGTCATTGACCTTAGATAAAGCAGAAATTTCAAAGCTTGGTGAATGATTAACAGCCTTCAACTTCGAGAGATTTCACTTTTAACATGCACACTCTTAGCAGCTTCTCGCTTAAGTTGGAATTTCATTTAGACAGATCAAGAATCTCCCCACTCAAACGTACTAGCTCAAGTTTTTGTTTTTGATTGTATTCTGGAAACTTTTTTCTGCCTCGAGAACTTCCTACTTCGTCGTCCATAGACAAAAGTCCTTTTCTCCAGTCTCTTGATGTGGTCATCTTTTATCCTAATCTCATTCTCGAGCTGATCTATTTCTTGCTTGAGAGAAAATTTTAGGTCTTCCATGACATTTTCAAGCACACTGATATAATTATCTTTTTTGCAAAGTTCAGGCTTCAGTTAATCATATTTAGTAGAGAGATACTCGGAGTCAGGCAGAGCTACTTTGTAGTTATTACAACCATTATGACTTTAGAGGCGTAACATCAACTTGGTTCTCGTCTTATCTGACGGGTCGTCGTTAACGAGTGTTTGTAGGCTCTGAGTGCTCCGAATACCGTTCGGTGGCCTGCGGCGTTCCACAGAGCTTTGTTCTGGGACCACTGCTTTTTCTTCTATACATTAATGACCTGACCAACCTTAATGTTCAAGGGAAATTCACACTATTTGCAGATGATACTACTGTTTTCTGGCATGGCCTTAACACTGACACCTTGTCGACAGATCTTGAGAACGTGAATCATTGATTCGAGTCAAACTTACTATCCTTAAATCCCAAATAAACTAAGCTTGTGTGTTTTGGTAAATGTATTTTCGATGGTGTTTCCATTGCGATGGCTGCCCGGTGGAGCTCCATTCCGACAGTAAATTCTTGGGGCTGGTCACTGCCGAGGAGCTCAGATTTGAGAAACACATAGGTAAATATCCTTGGAGGGAAGCTGTCCTCAGGTTGTTTCGCTTTTAAGGTGGCAACCCAGGAGCACGGTACTGGCGGTTGCAGTTCTGCCTACTTTTCTCTAATCTCACCTCAGGAATGGCATCTGTTTTTAGGGTAATGCGGGCAGCTGCTTGCTGCAAATGTTGTTTGTACTTCAGAAGCGTGCTCTGCGTCACATCTGTGGGGCTAATGAGAAATTTTAATCAAATGGTCTGGTACTGCGGTTTTGCTGCTAAGTTTCTAAGCTTTGTCAATAAGAAACATTTTTCTTGGACAATAGAGCACATTTTCATTCATTCATTTAAATCTATAGCATTAAGTTACCTACTGATAATGAGATATTGATATGCATATACATATATGGTTTTTTTCCTAATGGTTTTAGTTCGAGACCAATCTACATATAACCAGTTTTATCCAAATTATGGAGTTGTCTGTAAGCATTTCACTGAGAAAATTCCTTACCAGGAAAGCACACGTCTTAACTCATAGAACTACACTAAATGCATCTATAATGACCACTTTAAAACTTTAGCCTAACGCAAAAAACCAGGAGCGAAATTTTTGCTACCATTCTATTACTATTGCTTATATTGAATATTAATATCAAGGAGTAATTTTTTAAGAAAAAATCCAAATAGTTCATCTGAAAGCCTTCGAAATGCTCTACAAAATCTGAAACTTTAAGTAATTTACGATAATTTTTCAAAAAGTTATAGTGTTAAAAATTATTATGTACGATTTCGATAAATCTTGAATTCTTTAGGCTTTCAAATGTAGAATCTTTTTCTAAAACACATGGTACAATTTCAAATTTTCAGGATTTATAGAGAATGTCAAGGATTTTTAGATGGGATACTAAAAAAATTACCATCATAAATTACAGGATGATTTTAAGGAACTTGCAAACTATATAAAACTGGTTACTCATCTATATAACTCAAAACTAAGTTGGCTAAACAAGGAAGTAAAAACTAATCAAAATAATTCCGGAGCGTGTGTTTTGGGGAAACCATTAAACAACTTCCCTTCTCGACCTAAACGCCGTATAATTTCCATAATAAACAACTTTGTGTGTATATTTCCAACAAAGACTAAGTGGCCTTTTATTAAATAAATTGCCTAGGTTTTTGGATCGAAATAACACAATTTCCTTTGTCTCAGGTACATTTCTACATATCTAGAAATACCAAGAAAATAAGTAAAATTGGAAAAATACTTACTTTGACTTCGAGAGACGTAAGGATCGAGAATGTATTTTTTTTTTCTGTAAACCGAGTACCTCATTTATCACTCCGCGGGTCCTCAAAAGCCCCGAAAAGATGATTTATTTGGCACTTTTCCAACGTTGCTCTTGTTATCGCCCTAGTATGCCTATTAAATTTCGCCACACCTGGAAAAATTTGCATGGATCTGAGAGTAAAATGGAAGACTTTTTTTCCTAATTTGATGAGTTTTTCATGAGCTCACGAAATAACTCATGAGGAAATATCTCTCAATAAAATGAGCCGCAAAACTCTTCATAAATCTTTAATCAAAGCAAATTTTCCAGAATATTATATAAAATACAAAAAGATCCGCATTTTTATCACCCTACATTAACAGCTGCTAAGGGCGCAAAAAGAAAAAAAAATAATAATAATAAAGGCTCAACTTTTTTGGGGAGTCAAAATTGCCCCCGCAGACCAATTTATTGTGGCTTTTTTTCGGTTTACGACTCTGGAGCGTGTTTCTGGATTTTTCCCTCCGTTTGTCGCTTATTAAAAAAAAATTCAATTTAGACTCTGCAGGATTAAGTTTATCTGGTTTTTATTCAAAAAACAATCAAATAATATAATATAAGTAGAATTTCACAAACATGAAAAACATTTTTAGATTTCTAATATTGCCTTTTAATATTTACACTGGTCACTGTTTTGTTTGTTCGATGTTCTATTTATTTACACTTAGCACCAACCAAATACATATAAAAGTTTTTCATGGGGCTACTACCATGGTGGCCAAGAGGCTCAGGAACAAGACAGCAAACGGATATTGTAGACGTAGTTGGCCGCCATGTTGCATTGCTGCTGGATATTCACCTGTAACAATTCACAAGTTGAAGTACATTCGAAATGCAAACCAAATAAACTCATAGCTTATGTAACGTCAAACGAAACAGTTTTCCGGCTCTAAAATTACCTCGTAAAGTATTTATCATCATTCCGGGCGAAAATTGCTCATTTCGGTTTCTCTTTTCGAAATGACGATGTGCGTCAAAGCCCCGAAAATTATGAATAAATGACTACATACGAAAATAGATTTTTGAGTTGTAAATTATATAACTCATGCGTAACAATATTTTGTACATAAAAGTTTCATTTTCTGTCAGAAAAAAGTCAATTCCCTTAAGCGCCAGTGTACTTTGTTCAAGTGGAAACTTGTTAAATAAAACCCTCACGCGTCAATCAAAAATACACAATTCCATTTAACCAGTCAAACATTTGATGTCGGCATTTTTGGGATATGAGTGGTATTTTTTGTTCTTAGAATATTTAATTCAAGAATCAATTTTATGTTACTGTTGAGTAAATGTAGATGATTCGTTCTGAATGAAGCCCCTTTAAAAAAGTATATGAAGATAGAGATCTATCTAGAAAGATAGCCCTAGTACATGGTTTAGTTCGATTCAGACTAGAAAACTTCGAAATTATGGAGGCATATGTAAATGAAACTATGTCACTTGCTCAAAAATTAGGTGACACAGCCAGTGGATGCTGAGTTTCCAGGAGTAAGTAATATTATTGAGTGGACTTACCGCAGACTAAAGTCTGTTCATAAAGTGTATAGACTTTTTCGAGTACGTCATCTGAGATTTTGGACGCTGATATGATTCAATGGTAATGGCTATTGAAAACTCAAGTGCAGTGATCACAAGTTACGTCATCAAGGTAAAGCTTTTTCAAGATGACAAATATAGAAAGGAAAAGTCTGAGAAAGCATTTTATTCCAAGTGTAAAAAGCAATATAACAAGAAAAATGTAAAATGCTTCAACTTTGGGCTATTTGGTCACTTCAAGAATCAGTGTACCAAAGAAAGTGATAACACTCGTGATGAAAACAAAGATGAAAAGAATAAATGTAATTCTAAGGAAAAATTAAGCGAGGAAGTCTTCGGGTGAATTGGTCATCAGGTGGGTCCTTTCCATTTTATTTCCATGTTTTTTGTCCTTTTTCGTGATTGAAACAGTTTCGGTTTCGATCTCGCTTTATCCGTACAATTTTCGTTTGTTGCATTTGTCAAACGCGTTTCGTTGTGTTTGACTTCGGTACGATAATTAAGCATTATAATTAGTATGAGTACAGAAAACATGGATCCCCTTGTTCGTAAACGTGGCGCCGTTAAGGCCAAAATAACTAATTTCGAAAAGTTTGTTTTGTTTTTAGAAAACAAGTACCCTGAAAATGTTGTAACCGATCGCGTCAATTTTTTAGATTTAGAATCTCGTTTTGAAACCTTTTCTGGTTTGGCGAGCGAGTTTGAGCAGGTTCAAGAGAGTATTGAAGCTATTTGTCCATTAACCGACCTCGAAAAGCAATATCAAGAGCGCGTTATGTTCGAAAATAATTATCATCTGGTGGTTGCTAGGGCTAGAATATTCTTATCGGATTCTTCTGTTGACCAGGATAATGTAGATTCTGCCAGCAACGCTGGATCAGGCAGGAGTAACGCGAGTTTAGCCGCACAGGGTCTTGTTTTTAAGGGAGTTAAATTGCCAACAATCGAAATTCAAACATTCTATGGTGACTATAATTCGTGGTTGGAATTTCGGGACACTTACGAATCACTAATTCACAATAATGAAAGTTTGTCAGAAATTCAGAAATTTCATTACCTAAGGTCATTTTTAGGGCCCCAAGTGCTGGAAGTTATTGCGAATTTGGGTTTTTCCAATACGAATTACGAATCCGCTTGGCAATTAATTTGTGGCCGGTATAACAATAGTAAAGTTTTAGTTCAGAATCACTTGCGAGAACTTTTCAATCTGGATAAAATACAGGAAGATTCTTCGGGTGCGCTTAGAAAATTAGCAGATAATATCGGAAAACATATTAGATCTTTGAACGCGTTGAACGAGCCTACAGATAATTGGGACACGCTTTTGATTTATCTCATTTCTACGAAATTGGATGCAGTTTCTTTGCGAAAATGGGAGAACTTCAAATCTGAAATTCAAAAGCCGCTGTTGTCAGATTTGTTAAAATTTTTACGTGAGCGCGCTAATTTTTTGGAAGCCGTAGAGCAAACAAAATCTGAAAAAAAGCAATTTAAGTCAAAAACCGAATTTAATTCAAGATATGATAATAAAACTCGTTCTTTTGTTACCTCTAACTCGGTTTCTTGTAGCTTTTGTAAGAAGGAGCATTTTGTTCAGGATTGTATTGATTTTAAAAATCTCAGTGTGAGAGAGCGTATTAATGAAGCAAAGAAAAAACGGCTTTGCTTGAATTGTTTGAGAGTTGGACATATGCTGAAAGATTGTTTCTCTGGTAGCTGCAAATTTTGTAAATCGCGTCATAACTCCTTATTGCATATAATTCGTGAAAATCCGAAGCCTTCCACTGAGGTGCATTCCAGTGACGTACAAGAGGCTCCCCAAATTTCGACAGGGGAAAATTATTGTGGTTTTTTTGTCTCACAAAAATGAACGCGTTCTGCTGTCAACTGCCTTAGTGTACGTAATAGATAAAAATAACAAATCATTTTCTGCACGTGCGCTGCTGGACTCCGGTTCACAGAGTTGTTTTTTATCGAAATCCTTTGCCTACAAGCTGGCAATTCCTTGCGAAACTGCAAACATTAAAGTTTGCGGTTTGAATGAAACTGAATCGACCATCGTTGGTAAAATGAATGTGAGAGTACAGTCATTGGTCAATGCATTTTCGATGGATATGTCATGCTTCATTGTGCCTCAAATAACCACACCTCTACCCAACTTTATAGTTGATATGCGTTGTTTGAACATACCCCCAAATATATCTCTAGCAGATCCTAATTTTAACCAAAATCGACATGTTAATAGGTGCCGATTGTTTTTGGAATTTGATGTGCGTCGGTCAAATAAAGTTGGGTCAAGGTGGGCCATTTTTGCAAAAAAGTAAATTAGGGTAGTTGATTTCTGGAAAGGTTGCTAGTGAATCTCGTCCTAGCAGTTCGTCGAGCAGTAATGTGACAATTTGTTATTTCGTTAAAACCGCTGAAATCGACAAACAACTTTCTCGTTTTTGGGAAATCGAAGAATATTCTATTGAAAAGCCATTTTCTCGTGAGGAAGCTGCTTGTGAAGCACATTTTCTTGAAACGCATAGGCGTGATGTGCACGGTCGTTTCATAGTCAAAATGCCGATGAAGGATAACCCCGCAAAATTGGGCGATTCGTATTTCACTGCTAAAAAACAGTTTTTGTCATTGGAGCGCAGATTTGATCGTGATCAAACGTATCGTGATTTATATCATCAGTTTATCGATGAATATCGAAATATGGGACACATGACGAAGGTCAGTCAACCCGATTCAGCGTCATATACTTACTATCTTCCCCATCATGGAGTGCTGAAATTATCGTCTTCTACCACCAAGTTGAGAACCGTATTCAATGCAAGTGCGAAGACTGGTAGCGGCCATTCGTTGAACGATTTGCTTATGGTTGGTCCTACGATTCAGAGTGACCTAGTCACTATTTTGTTGCGATTTCGCAAATTCGAATTCGTGCTTTCCTCTGACGTCGCCAAAATGTACAGGATGGTTCAAGTCGATCCCACGCAGAGATCTTTATTGCGCATCATTTGGCGTGACAACCCCGCAGCTGAGTTGGATGCTTATGAGTTAAATACCGTGACTTACGGAACTTCCGCAGCCTCATATTTAGCTATTCGCTGTTTGTATCAGCTCGGTGTAGAAGTCGAAAAGGAGTCTCCTGTTGTTGCAAACGTCATCAAAAATCACTTTTACGTTGACGATATGTTGAGTGGAGCGGACACCGTGGAGGAAGCTGTATTTATAGCCAACAAAGTTAGTAAGGTTTTGGCCAGTGGAGGATTTTCTTTGCGCAAGTGGGTGTCAAATGAGCCAAGTGTCTTGAGAGATATTGAGTCGTCTGAGGGTTCTGTAGTTGATATTGGCTTAAAAGAAAATAACAAAACTTTAGGTATGTTTTGGAATGGGAAAGAAGATAGCTTTTTTTACAGAATTGGGGACCAGTCGAATCCAAGAGTTACAAAGCGTATCGTATTATCAGAAATCGCTCAGATATTCGATCCTCTTGGCTTATTGAGTGCATGTGTAATAATTGTGAAACTTTTTCTTCGTGATCTGTGGCTAGAAAAATTAGATTGGGATGATTCTTTGTCTCAACACTTACATACAAGATATTTGCATGCGCATTTGGTAGTTGCGTATATCTCCATTCTATTGACAGCCGGAGTAACATTACTGTAAGGTTGGTTTGTGCGAAGTCGAAGGTAGCACCTTTAAAGGTTCAAACCGTGCCTCGTTTAGAGCTCATGGCAGCTGTCTTGTCGGCGCGTTTGGCTGAAAAGGTTATGCAAGCCCTAGAAATCCATTCGCAACAAGTTTGGTTTTGGGCAGATTCTACCATAGTTTTGGGTTGGATAAGAACTCCGGCAAACCTGCTTCAGGTTTTCGTCGCAAATAGAGTGGCTACCATTCAGGAGAAGACTGATGTGAAAAATTGGAACCACGTTCGCACTCAAGACAACCCAGCTGATTTCGTTTCGCGCGGCATTAGACCGAGAGAATTGCTCTCCCTAGATACATATTGGTGTGGACCATCATGGTTACAAAAAGTCGAAGAGTTTTGGCCCGAATCCTTAGTCGTTGCGAAGGGTGAACAGTTGCCAGTTTCTTATTGCCTTCGTTTCAGAAATAATTGTTTGAAACCTGAGCCTGAAAGAGTCTTCGAGCCTCTTTTTGCTAGTGAAATTCCTAACGCATCTCTAATATTGATCAAGGTGTCACAGCGTCAGTCATTTTCAAATGAGTTGGAATCTCTTTCTAAACATAACAAGGTCCATAACCAAA